AACATGTTTTGGAGTTTGCATCACAAATATGTTAGCAGCTTGTTTCGTTGTTTATTCTGTGTTTGCATCTGTCGCCAACGGCTGAAATAGAGTGAATGATCTTCATTGTCAAAAGCTGAAATTAAAAGAGTTAAAAGAGTCCTCAATGGTAAATTTGACGTGTTAAAATATGTGTGTATTGGTTTTTTGGGTTCAGTTAAAAGCAGATGGAAAATCCCAAAATAGAAAAGTCTTAAAGAGCGGACTATTCATGTATTCATGTTGGTCCTCCTCCAGGATTCATTCATTTGTTCCAACCAGGAGACTCACCTGCAGGCAGTTGGTAAGTGTTGCTCCTTGTCTAATTTGTTGAGTAAGAGACCTGGAAACAATGGTAAAAATTCCCCTTAACCCCCCATGTGTTCCCTCATGAGAAAAAAGGTATAACAGATTGAGTCTGAATGAGCTCTATTGACATATTTGTCATAAGAAGGATTTAACACAAATTTACATACAGTTTCAGCAGAATTGTAATATAAAGCACTAGGTTATGACTTCTTTTAATCCAGGATTAATTAGTAACTCAATAACAAGCCATTAGAGACGCTGAGAAAGCTGATTCCTCTGCTCTACAAAGACCAGACTGAAATTTGTAAAAACCACCAACTGTTCTAGTCCTGCCCTTCTACAAACCCTCCACTGCACCACCTGCTCTAGCCAACTCAACACCATTGCTGACATAAAAACTCAAAACCTACCCCATCTTTGCAGCAAAACACTAAATCTGTCTCCTCCACATGCAAAGAAAGCAAGCACTGTTGGTATTTTTAAATTTTAATTTTCAATCTTATTTTCAGAAGAAGATCAGTCTTTTTAATTGTATTCAGTAGCCAACATCGTTCCGAGGCACACGTCACCCAGAAGCCAGTGAATGGTGAATGTGCAAAGGGTCAGAAGTTATCACACATTTTTATAGCCCTTGGGAAGCAAACATCAGAAAACTGTTGAAAAACATGCACAAAATTTCAAACAACAGTAATCACACTGGAAAAAATCAATATATAAGCCATTTTTTCTTTAAATAAGTGCATTTGTTCTTGGATTGAGGAGGTAAAAGAGACAATTTGCCAATGGAACAATTTAATCTTAAAATTAGAAAACACCATTGCATCGTCTAATTTCAAGTGCATGTTATCTAATTATATTATTTCAAGAGTAAAAATACTAATTCCATTGGCAGATAATCTTATTTACCTGATCTTAAATTAAGGGTAAAAGACATTTTTACTTATTTCTTGATTGTTTTTGCAGTGCAGGAGAAAAAAGGTAGAAGAAACTGGGTCTGAATGAATGAGCTCTATGTATAAACTTGTTTCTCATAAGAGGGATTTAACACAAATTTAAATAAAGTTTCAGTAGAATTATAAGTAAAGTACTACATTATGACTTATTAAAATCCAGGATTATTAAATAATGTGACAACAATTAGAGAAGAAGAGAAGGCTGATTCCTCAGCTCAACAAAGCCAAAAATAAGTAAAAACTTTAGTAAGTATGTTAGATTTGGATCAATTAAACCCTTTAATACAAAGAGAGCAAATGGTTCTTAAATATCTATTGTTACGGCCCAAGGCCTTTTCCTCTGGGTCTCTAACCTCCATGTTTTGGACTCCTTAATTGGTGCTGATTGGAAGTGGAGGCAGCTGGCCAGTGTCTCCAGATGACGTCAGATCCACTTTAAGATGCACCACTTTCTTTGACTAAGTCCCTTATTTTCTTTCTGTCTCCCTGCCACTCTCTCCCACTTTCTCCCTTTCTTCCCCAACCAGTTAGGATTTTTGTTAAATAAATTCCCTTTTTAAGTTATCCCTAGCGTTGCTTCCCTTTCATTTGTTATGGTTTAAGAGCCGGACCATAACACTATTTACTGACAAGCGTTTTAAAGTAGAAGTTACTCAGACACGGTCTAGTGCCCACAGAGATTTACATGTGACGACTGAAACCAAAGATTTTAACACATTCAACTATTATACCTCACTTTCATGCTTGACTTGTTAGTAGAAATGTTGTATAATCAGATTTGATAAAGAAAAAAAAAGTTTTGTTTGGAAATACTGTTGAGTTTTCCTCTCAACTAAATCATTTAGGTGTATTTTTTTTTATAAAACGTATAGTTTTTGATATATTTTTTTCCAAGCTGTCACGCACCAGAGGACGCTTCCTCCCATAAGCTGACTTTCACACCCACTACTCTTTTTCAGTATTAATTCAGTTGTCAGCCCACAGTTTTAACTTCCTCTTTACAAAGCTACAAAAAATTCCCATATGTCAAAACCTTCTGCCTTTCAGTTTAGTATCTTCATCTTTACGCCTCGATCTGGACTCAGCTTGGAAGCAAATTAGGTAAGACGGCATTAATTCTGAGATAATGAAGGAAAATGTTATGTTTCAGCAACAGTGTCTTCCATTTGGGGGCAGTAGATTGCATCTGAAATAGTTTTGCAGTTTCAAATAGAGAACAAAAAAAGAGAAGCAATAAAAGCAAATAAAGGCTTATGAATCAGTGAATAAAGCCGAGATCTCTAACCTGAGTGGGAATCAGATGTAGCACCAAGCTGCCATTAGAAGAATATTTAAACAGGAGCTGGACTGGTTCTGTGTTCGTTGTTTATTAGGGAAGAGTATTATTAGAGGGACAAATATATTGTTAGACTCACAAGTACTTTTTCTATGCATGTTTAAACAATGAAAAGTTATTTTTATCTGCCTTATTAACAAAAATGCTTCAACCTGAAATTTTTCTACAATCTATTAGGATACATTATCTCAGAAATGAATGAAAATAAGTATCTTATGAAAAAGATAAACTCATTTTTTTACATTTAATGAAAATGCTCCTTTCTCCCAATTTAAATGTAATCTCATAAATTATGAATTACATCTATTTATTCTCCATAGACTAGCAGAACAAGAATAAAGAGTTAAATATCCAGCATGAATAAACACTTTAAAGCCAAACTGCCATTACTTACATTAAATGTTTAAATTGTTTTAGTTATGCACTGGAAAAACAATCTAGAAATAAGTAAAATATATTTACACGTAATTTGATTAGGTAAATAAGGTAGTCTGCCAATGGAATGAGTATTTGTACTCTTAAAATAAGATAATTAGATAAAATGCACTTGAAATAGGACAATATAATTGTGTTTTCTTATTTTAGATTTAAATTGCAATGTTCCATTGCAAAACGTCTCTTGTACCTCCTCAATCCAAGAACAAATGCACTTATTTTAAGAAAAAATGAATTATCTAGATTTCGATTTTTTTCCACTGAGTTTGTTAGAGTCTAAGTTTTTTCAGGACTCAATTTTCTCTTTGGAATCTAAAGAATGGGAATGGGAATAATTTTTAAAATTCACAACCTTAGATAAAGAGGAAAGGCAATAGAGGCTGAAAGGAGAAACGTCTTTAGATTCGTCCATCTCCCAGATCAATGCTGTTGTTTTTGTTTTAGTCCTTCTTTAGTCTAAATGTGTGGAAGCAGCAGGTTCCTCAGGTGGTGGGATTTTATTGCTTTTCCTCCTCAGTGATAAGAAGAGCCGCTATTTGAGAAGCATTGATACGTTTAAAATGATACAACAGAGGAACAGATTACAGATGATCAGGAGATCAGAAGAAAATATCAAGCATGTAGCTAAATATGTGCAAAAAGATGGCGTTTAGGTGTCTGTACTGTGTGCACTGCAGAGCTAATTAAAGAATCTTAAGGTGACACTATTCCATCAAATGAAGAAAG